AAAGTATATTGTGGTGAAGAGTCATGTAGAAGCAAGCAAGCCAGAGTGGCTTGCATCTGGTGCAAAGGAAAATAAGCGTCTTACCTTCAACATGTGGTACATCATCAGCATTTTGTTCCTTGAAAATCACATTAATCCCCAGTCAGAATGTTCCAACAAAATGTTGTAACAGGAGTTTTTTGTACAGCTTGGCATGGTTTGGCCAATAGCAAGTTGTGTGCTGATTGGTTGGACTGGAGGAGGCTATTTGCCTAGGTAACTGAGAACAAAAGCGAAGAACACTGATTTGTTGGTTGACCGTGGTGTTGGTCTGATAAAATAGGGCTGAAGCAGTGAGTTGGGAGAGCGGTTTTATATTTATGAAGTGTGCGGAACACAAGAACGATGAATTGAACAAATGGCATCTTGTATTGTACGAACATTCTGAGGAATTCTACCACTTCCTTCCCAGCCCCTCAACCTCTGGCGTCTTCCTCTTTGGGTTGAGGTGTCTATTCGGTCTGAAACGAGCTTAGGGGTAACTGGCCATACGCTCCCTGAGTACCCATAGATTATTTTGACTGGCCAACTGGTCAAGTCCTGCTCGCTGCCCACGCTGTGTTAGCTTTTAGATCCAGTAAGCGGGGTGTTGTCCATACGTTCACGGTCGACAGAGAGGGGGTTTGTGTGTGATAAACGCGTATTGAATCGCCTGGGGTAGGTTTATGACTAATAGTCCAGTCTCGTACAGACTTCTCAGAACAGAGGTTAGTCTTCTCTCTCTCCTCCCAAATTCTCCTGCAAATCTCTTAACTCACTGCGACGATAGTCTCATGACTCTCTCGACAACAGTGTCTTTCCCCGACTCTCCTTTATTAGCAAAATCTCGAGTTAATATAGAAAAAGGACCAGCTGATCACAATTGACCCTCGGCCCAGCACGCAGCTACCACAAGTGCCAAAAACTATCCCTTGAAATGTTAACTGATTCTCCAATTATTTACCTTATCTCAATCATGAGTTCTTCTCGCTTCACCAAAATTATACTTTAGGATATCTAAACACTGATTCAACCTTTTAATCAAAACAAATACTGTTAAACAAAACCAAGTATCTCGCCCATCCCCATTGTTTACTAGTGACCCAGGTTTAAAACATCGCCTCCTGTCCTGAGATCGTGTTTCTCATCAGTAAACACACATCTTAACCCAAATTGTACTTTGATATATAAACACCGTTTCCATTTCCAGTCCATAAAAGTTATATTTGCATGTGTGCGTTCATATGGGTGTGTGTGTGTGTAAGTGTATACCTCTCTCTGTTACAAATAGACTCATTTAACTACAAGCTATTTCAGCTTTCCTCCCAATCATGGCAGACAAAAGTTTACATATTATGCTAATAACCGAATTCAGGAGGACTGATACCGATCTACCAATTATAGAATGGATTGAAAATGTGGAGTTGGTTTGTGAACTCTGTAAGATGAAGAAAGCCGAGCAGATACTCCCACTATGCCTGTGAGCCGAGGCTTTAGCTGTGTATCAGCAGCTGACAAAGGAGCAGAGGTCATATGCAGAGCAGATTAAGCAAGCTCTTATAACTGCATATGATCAATTTGTGTCACGTTTTCAGCCAGGGACACTGTATATAAATTTTTAGCAGAGTTAAAAGAGCCTTGCTGGTTGGCAGCCCAAGCAATGGATGACGTGTGCATTTGTTTCTGGACTGCTGAAACAAGTCAAGCAACTTCTCTGAGCATCACCCAGAATGATCACCATGACTTTGGACCAGATTTTGACTCTGGCTCAAGCTGTTATGATTGATAGCAAGGAGCCCAATGAGTCAGTTGCCACAGCAAATAAATGCTGACATTACTGCATGGACAGGCAGCATTGTTTGTTTTAAGTAATTAGGCCCCAACCACCTGGCAAAGGATTGCAGGCAAGGCTGCTCGGAGAGGACACAAAGATCCTACTGTGAGATACGATGTTTTCAGTGCAACAAGGTTAGGCACATCTCATCAGAATGCCAGGGAAATGGCTCCAGGGGAACAGATATCAGCGCTGGTCTTCTCTCCAAGTGACTAAAGAACACTGCGCTACCTATCATTGAGTTGGCCCTAGATGGAAAGAAGTGCATGGCCCTGGCTGATTCTGGCTACTCATCAACATTGGTGAACAAATAAATGCGCATGCTGCAATTGGTGACCAATGAAGATGAAAGTCTTAACTGCTGACTGTAAGGCCCTAACATGGTGTGGACATGGCAGTATTATGCTGAATATTGATCATGCTCAACCTGTGTGCATTGATGCCCAAATTGTGGACAGACCACTACTTGGGTTCAATCTTCTTGGGATTGACACAATCAGAGAACTAGGAAGGATGCACATAACTCGTTCAGGAGAAGTTCACTTTTTTGAAGGAAGTATGCCCCCAGTGTACTGCTATTTCCATCAATGAGCCCGACTTTAGTGCAAAATTTAACCATCGTAAAAAAAAAGTATGGACAGCCTCATGGAAGTGGATGAATGGACAACCACCTATAGCCCTAAAGAAGAGTGGCAGAATACTCAGTATCCGACTTTCCCTGGAACGAATACGAGATGGAGTTTCAGTTTTGGCTGGATAATGGATGGCTGCAGTCATACCTCGAAGATGAACCTAAGTGTCTAATCCCGCTAATCCGGCGGTGATACAAGAGAGTAAGCAGAAGGTCCATCTAGTACTGGATTTTCAGAATTTAAATGGTTTTGTGGAACTATATACCGCTAACTTGGAGGTGTATGCACAAAATGTATCCTTATTGGATTTACAAAGGGCATATCTACAGATGCATGTTGAAAAAATGCTGTGGCCCTATCAAACTGTTATATTGAAGAGTCAAAGATACTGCCTCACCCAACTGGGCTTCATCTGCCAAGAATGGTAGCCAGTAATTTCTGATTCTCAAACAAAAAGTGGAAAAATAAAAATTAAAGCTTAAATCAAATAATACTGAGAGCTATAATCTACTATTCACTATAGAGGAACTAAATGAATCTTTAAAGAAAGCCCACAATGCAGCTGTGGAACCAGATGATATCCACTATCAATTCATAAAACGGTTGCCCAACAAATCATTACAACTGTTACTAAATTTGTATAACAACATATTGACAAGTGTTAACTTCCCAGATATGTAGAGACAGTCATTCATCATCCCTATTCCAAAACCTGAAAAGGATTTCATGGACCCTGAAAACTATGGGCCAATAGCACTAATGAGCTGCCTATGTAAAACTATGGAGAGAATGGTCAACAACAGGTTGACTTGGTACCTGGAAAATAATGGCCTAATCAGTGATTACCAATGTGATTTTGGGAAAAAAAAGAAGTAACATGTATCACTTAGTATGCCTTGAAACCTTTGTAAGGGAAGTTTTCATTAATAGTCTCCTTCCTTTTCAATCATAGTATTTTGCCTTTGAATGAGAGCATGTAAAAGCTAATTGAATCTTTTTGGTTATATTTTTAACCATGTGCAAATTGTCTTATTCACCTCATCACTGGAGTACTTCTGTCCTCTGAAAGTTGAAGGATTCTAGATCAAGACTGGTGTGTGTGTGCGGTAAAGTTGTCCAATCATTTCATATGATTCTTGTCTAGTCTGTAAGCAGGTGTGTGGTTTTGCATTGTTATGTTGCAAAAGCATATCACTCGTATTCAAATGTGACCTAGCTCAAAGCCCTGAGTTTTGACAATGTACTCCTGTAGGTGTCTGAATTGATAGTGGTGTTATTGAGCATGATTTCTAACAGTGTGTTCCTCTTTACCTGCAGAGTGTACTGCCTTAAACATCTTTCTTGGTCGTACCACTCTATTGATCCCTCGAGCAGAAAGTTTCTATCCAGGTTCTGCAGCTCTCTAAGTTCTTGGACAGCAACCACCCTCTGCTCCTTCATTGAGTCTGTCAACATTCTGTGAACCCATTTTGTATAAACTTGATTAGCTAAGAAAGTGTACTAGACTGCTCATTTGAATTTACAATAATGATTCTTCTGTAAGCTGTTATGTGAATATCCTCTGACCTTATCCTTATTCACAGCAGCAGCTGACCTAGCACTTAAGTTCAATTTCTCAGATTGTCATTAGCTCTATGTTTACCTCAAGTAGAGCCTTTCCATAAACATTCACTTGCCTCCTGTAAATGTTTGTATCACTTTCCCCTTTCAGAAACAGAACTTCTATGATGGCACTTTGCTTTTTCTGTATGTCAAGGGTTGGAGAGTAGGTAGGAAGCATTAATTTTGATTATGGATAGGACTCAATAATTTTTCCTCTGGGTTTATAGTTACTTTATGGTTTATAGTGCTTAGAAAAATAAGAAATTTGACTAATACTTTTAAAATTAAATTATAACAGGCATTACTTTTTGACTGACCCTCACATTTTATTGTACATCTTGATGTTGGCTTGATGCTGCTTACAGCTATCATAAGTTCTATTCTTTTTGCCATCCATCAAAAATAGTGTGTAATGTTATGCTTAATTGAATTTTTAGCCATTTCTCCATAAACTCCAAATTGAATAAGTTTACCAAACATAAATGTGGTTACAATAAGTGGTGTACATCAAATGCAAGTATTTTTTTCTCTCTAACCATGATCATCATTAACTTAAACATAAATTTTGAACTTTACTAATAGGTGAGATTAATATGTACACTTCAATTGTGTCTTGTAACAAAATATCCAGATTTTATTAATAATACCTAAATAAAGTATCAATTTTAAATATTTAGAATGTTTTTAATTAACAAAATCTATTTTTAATACCAGTTTATACAATCTACAATGAAATATGAATATGAATGTATTGGTTTCTTAAAGTGAAATAAAAAAAAAATAATTTTTAATTTATATGAAAATTAAGTCATTGGTTGATTTTGTTCATTTAATGAAAATAATTTTGTCAAAATGCATTTAAATGTTTTTTCATGTTTTCACATCTTCAAAATTTATATTTAATTTTTATTTAGGCAAGTTATGGTGTAGAAGATGCTGAATATGCGATTACACAATTAGCACAGACCACAATGAGATCTGAGATTGGTAAGATTAGTCTTGATACAGTGTTCAGAGAAAGGGAGTTACTGAATTTTGCAATTGTTGGTAAGTAATATTGATCAGTTTGTGAATAGCAATATACACTGGCATGCCAAATTTTGGGGAAACCTTGGTAAATTAATTACTTTTGTTAATTTTACCCCCAAATTGAGAGTGATTAACAGTATGCTTTTCTCTGTATCTTATTTTTGAGGGGCAGAAAACAAGTTACTGCATTTTCATTCATGCTGTATGTTGTGTGATATAGTAGTATTCTCAGTTGATTTTTTTCTTTTAGGTTATTGTTATTTAATCACATTAGTTAGAGAGAGCTCTGTAAATGAAGTTTGAATTGATTGATTTATAAAAATATCCTGTGGTTCAAAAGTTATGAGAATGTAAAGCCCCAAAATTTGGAGTTCAAAATTGACATCATTTTGTACAAAAATTACTTGAAATCACAAACCAATTCACAAGAAATTCAGTAATTTCTTCATAGTTTCTTTATTTTGGGAGCAATTTTGATAAAACTTGGGATTCTTATGTAAAATTGTGTGTTGTTTCTGATTTTACACTCAAATTGTATGTGTACCTCATTATTTAGAGACTGAGAGGTACAATTATCTTTTTATTTACCATAAGATTATTCAACATTTTCATTTAAATACTGATTGACTTGATAGTATTAATTTAAATAAATAACATCAATTTGAACCTAAAAAGACCTTTTTAAATACCTGCTATGTTGTATTACATACAAGAACTAGAATACCTCTTTATATGTCAAATCATTGAAAATCTTAAAAATCACACTATAAATACATTTTCAGGATAAAAAGAAATCCCTTGCAATAGATACTTACTATTAATCTTCAGATAAAAGGAGAAAATATTTATAAAGAATACATAAAATGATAAAATGCATCATAAAATTACATTCTTTTGTAGTTGTATGAATTTGTTTTGAGACTCGTATACACCAGTAAAAATTCATTCAATGTACAAATAAATTACAAATTTCAGTATATATTTTATTCGTTCAAAAATATATAGCTGAAAACTTTTCATAAAAGTCTTGAATGTTTTCATAACATGCAATTTTCCATAATCTCCCATTCTAGTTGGGAGCAAACCAATTTTTAAAATAAATTCTTTCTTGACATTTTGTACATAATCTCTGTCCAGTTAAAAATATATTTGATTTGATATGGTATTACCCTGGTATGTCACAGCTGTGTAATTACTCGTTGATGGTACTTTACTACCCAATTCTTTAAATACTTGCTGAGGTGTTCGAGTGATGCATCATGTTCCTGCTGCATACTTGTATCATTTTGTTTTTGCACACGTTTGTCACTCGTTTTTTTCTTTTCTGCTACTGTTTCTCATAGCACAGACTTTTCTTTCCATAAATGATTTTCACAAAGATCTTTTCCTCTTTGCTTTCTTCATGAGTCTATGATGGATATCGGATGATTTACTGTCAATGTTTTTCTTTTTATGGTAACAGCAAAAAAGAAAGTGTGTGGGGTAAATAAACTAGCAAATAGATAAAACTTGCTTTATTTTACTTTATTTCATTTTCATTGTTTTATGTTTAAGTTTATAAAATTTCTAAGCTGTTTTTCAAAAAATTTCTCTGACGGACTAAACACGTGTATCTGTCTATATTTCTGAGATATTGTTAATTGTTATTCAGACTGTTGTCCTCATCTTTGTTGCCATATTCATGACATTTCCAATTACCTGAAGAAGGCTGGAGCATACAGCCAAAATGTCATGAATATGACAATAAAGATGAGGACAACAGTCTGAACAATGTGAATAATGTAAATAAACACATGTAGTCACAAACAAACAATACAAATTTAAATTACTTTCATTTATATTGCATTAAAGTGGAAGAATTGAAGAATTTATAAATAAAAAAAGCATATTAATAAAGAAGCTTCACATAGAAAAGTTATTTTTTCTAGGGACATTTTAGAATAAAAGAAAATGTATTCCTTTAAAAAGAACAATTTAAAAAAAACAAAGTAATTTCTTCCGTAAAATGTACATTACATTACAAATTCTGCACATTTAAAATTTATTTTCAAATGTAATTTTTTTTCTTATAGCTAGCTTTTCAATATATATATATATATATATATATATATATATATATATATATATATATATAAAGCTTTTTAAAAGCACAAATGTATATATAATATAATACAAATAAGTCAAAGAATTACTCTGACAGTTCAGTCTGTCCGCAACACCATGATTAATTTTGCTATTGTCAAATATGGAACCTCATTTAAAGAAATACTATTTTTCAAAATAAAAGTCAGACAAAATTCTTTTAAAAATGGAAAGTTATTTCAAATAATTTAATGTTTTTTAAAACCTTTTAGCACAAAATTCTTAAATATTTATGCAGAAAGTGTGGAAAAGAGAAACTAAACGAAAAACCCACTAGACTGATCGCAGGTGCATGCTGACATTTTTGTTTGTTTTAACAGCTTGTAATTTTCAATTTTTTTTTTTTTTTTTTTTTTTTTCAAAATTTTTTAACAAAGTGTGACATTAAAACATTATCAAAATTTCACAAATTATATATCACAATAATTCTGAGAATATCTTCTATTAGTAAGATATTGCTTCTTTTTTTTTCTTCTTTGCTTATAACTTTTAAAGGAATCTCTGTCAATTTTGCTTGGTTGTATTTTCACTACCATGGGTTGGAAAAGAAAAAAAACCAACTTCCTGGTTGTAGTTTAAGGTGTCTTCTGATTGGTTATAAAATTTCAAGGGTATTGGTAAAGATTGACCACTTTGCTTTTGTAAAAACAATGTAACGTGTAAAACTGAATCTTTTAAAAAAATTCATATTTCACATTTTCAGCTGTTCAAAGCAAAATACTGTTTTAAATCGCAAATTTAATTTTTTTTAAATTGCGCCTTTGTCTGCAGACAGTCACAACTGTCGCACTCTGTCTGAAGACTAGATATTAGGAAAACCAAGATTAAAAAAAAAGCCTTGTCCAGTTGAATCAGTTTGACGGATCCATGATAAAAAAAAAGTTAGGCTATTTTGAAGCCCATGTGGAACTAAAAAAAAATGTTTGATATATTACCAATTATCATGGCAAACTGAAAAGAATCATGGGCTAATAGGAAATGATATATTGAATTTTGACAAAATTTGTCAAAAACAAAGTCAAGGCCAGAAGAAACTGGAATGTTAAAAAAACTATGAAGCAAAGTTAAGACTAAATATACTATATTGTGAAGCACAAAAAGTGTCAGTTCAGCTACTACCAGTAGTTGTGGAAAAACTAAAAAAGAAAATTACTGAAACAAGATTTACTTGAACAAGTTCCACCAGGAGGGAGCAAATGGGCCTTCCCATTAGTAATTTTAAGAAAGAATGATGGTGATCTATGTATTTGTGGTAACTTCAAAATAGATATAAACCACAAAATATGTGCAGACTTGTATCTTATCACCAATGTAGAATGAGTTTTAAACTCCCTTTCAGGTATGAAAACATTCTCTAAAATTAATCTAAAGTCTGTTTCCCATCAAATACCTTTTGATGAAAACTTTAAAGAAGTCACAATGATAAACACGCCAATAGCCTTATTAAGATGGAAAAGAATGCCATATGGAATTAAAACTGCAAGTACGATATTTCAAAGGGCCACAGAACAAGTTATTGGTAGCAATATAAAAAAAAATACAATATAAGGATGACATTTGTGTTGGCGCTATTAATGATGAAGAATAGAAATGAAAAACCCATATGGCTTTAAATAAATTCAAAAACACTGGATTAAAAAATAGCACATGGTCATAAAACATTGCTAAAAAAAATGTAGGGGTCACAATGGATGCAAAGGTCAGGCATAAGACATGGCAGCCCTGATTACTACAGTTACCCTACCTATTCATTGCATCTCAGATACATTATCCTGCTGCTGTGTTAATATTATCCATTATAATGCTGTATTTAATTTTAGGTACTTCAATTTATATAAGCTTGAGCTGTAGATTTATTGTTGAGTTTTAAGTAGATACACAATCTGGCTTTAAATGTACTTTTAAAGTGAAAATTTATATCTAGTAGCGCAAGAAATAGCAGTATTCCATCAAACTGGTTTCTATAGGTTTTGGGCCATACCATTTGAAATACATTGTTTATTATAGTTTTCATTTTATATAAATATTTCTACCTCTTAAATTACTTCACTTTTAAAGATGATAATTTCTCAAAATTTAACTTTAATACTGTATAATAATTTTGCTTTCTTTATAAATTTACACAATGTAAAAATGATTTATAATTAATTTAAAACAAATACTTTTCTTTTGCAGAAGCTATTAACAAAGCTGCAGAAGCTTGGGGTATTGACTGCTTGAGATATGAAATCAGTAAGTAGTTTTATTTTTTATAATCTTATTCTATTGCTTTCTTTTACTTAATATTGCTAATAGAGTAAAATTCAAATATCAGTTCTATGTTAAAACCTTTCAAATTAGCATAGCTAAGAAATAATCAGAAGACACATGACTAAATATTTTTAAAGGATAGTATGGCAATGTGTATATTTGTGTGTGTGTGTGTGTATATATAAAGGGGAGTTGTTAAAAAGTTCTGTAGCCAATTCTGATGTTGGATAGAATGGGTGTGGCCAAGAACTTCTCAGCACACTCTTGTATATCTTCTCGCATATATCTATTATACATGTGTATGTATGTGCACACATATCAATCAAAACTGTATACACATACACACACAATTCCTCTAGAGAGTGTCTAATCATTTTACACTAATGAAAATATACTTCTCCAATATTTCACTGCGCATAGCACTATCCAATGTCTCACCTCTGCACCTGTACCAATAGAGGAAGAACAACCCAAAATTCTACCACTACATTTAACTGTCAATATGGTATTTTTGGTGTTTTCACCAAAATTTTTTATCTTAGTTGTTTATAATAACATTGATAATGTTGATTATTATGATGATTGTAAGCACTTATGGTCCCACTAGGGAATACTGAGAGAAAACTGATTAAGCGAAAATAAATATAGTTGTTGAGTTCACCACGTCTTTGTGTCACTTCAGCTTTTCAGTCTCGTATAATTTATCTTTCCACCCTAAGCCAAGTGAAACATGGTATTAGAGGGATTCGTTCTAAGAAGAAAATTATTTTCTAGTAGAAGAAAAAAAATTGAAGAAAAAAAAGTGGGGGAAATGTTCAAATTAACTCCACTAGAGCTGTTCAACTTTACAAATCCAGGAAATTGGCAAAAATGGTCAGATTTCAACACTTTCGAGAAGCATCAAAACTCTGGGAAGAAGATAACAAAACTCAAGTCGGTACATTAATATATTACATGGGTAGCAGGGTTGAAAATATATTCCAGACCTTTTCTTTCTAACAACGAGAAGACACAAATGTGTATGACTCAGAAAAATTCAATGTCTACATCATGCCTAAAAGAAACAATATATGAAAGGGCAAAATTTTATCTTCGAGTTCAATTACCAGGAAAATCAATGGAAACCTTTATTCACACATTGTATCAATTAGCAAAAGTATGTGAGTTTCCAATAAAAAATGGCCAAATCATGGACTGTCTGAAAGATTACAGTTAATTCTTGAATTGAAACTTGAAAAAACTACGGAGATGGCCAGGAGCAATGAGCAAATAAAATCTCAAATGGAAGAAATAAATAAAAAGAAAAATGTAGACAAACTAAAGAACCAGAAAAATCCACAAAACCTAGCAAAAAGATAGTGGAAAAAAAACTGCAACAATTGCAGTAGATGTAATAGAAAACATGATTTTTAAAAACTGTCCAGTGAAAGGGAAATTGTGCAAGAAATGTGGGAAAATGTAGCCTGCAAAACTAAAAATAATACAATATAGACAGTAAATGAAAAAAAAAAAAATTTCATAGGAGAACTATCAGAAACAGATTTAAGCGACCCATGGTATAAAATTAAAAAAATTTTAAAACTGCGGTGAGGTTTAAGATCAACACAGACACCAATATAAATATTATCTTAATCGAAATATACAAAAATCTGAGAGGAAACCCTTTGTAAAATCAGCAAATTATTATACCTTTACAAATCTTGGAAGAATAGTCCAGTGCATTGGAAAACTTAATACCACTACAGAAAATAAATATTATTTGGAAATATGTCATTAAATATGTAATGGGAGGGAACTTATTGTCTAGAAAAACAGGTATAAAAATGAATTTAGTGAAATATTTAGACAAAATAGAAACTTGAACTTCATTTGATGCTGTTATGTGTATGAATGGAGGCCCAGTTAAAATTGTTCTGAAAAAGACACTTTACCGTAACAGCTAGGAGAGTCACTTTCCCTATTTTACCAAAGGTGAAGGAAGAATTGAATAAACTGGAAAAAATGAAGGAATTATTGAAAAGGCTACAAAACCAAATGATTGGTGTGCACCTTAGTAACTGTAATAAAAAGAAATGGAAAAGTCCAAACATTTGTGGTTCTGAAGAAGCTAAATCTAGCAGTGAAAAGGGAACAGTTACATGTTACCATATTTAGATAATATTTCACCCAAACTAAATGTAACTAAATTTTTTCTAAATTGGATGCTACCAGTAGATTCTATCAAATTCTGTTAAGAACACTATCTATTCATCTAATCTAAATAAAGTATCTATCCATGAAAGGAGTACCTATTAGGAGATATTGCTTCAAAATATTACCTTTTGGTATAACATCAGCTCCAGAAATATGTCAAAGAAAGATGTCAGAATTACTGAAAAATATTCAAAGAGTCAAAACAATTATTGACAATGTTCTAATCTATGATAGAACTATAGAAGAACACAAGGAAAGAGTAAAAACTGTTGTTGAAACATTACAAAAAGCTGAATTCAAGCTTAATACAGAAAAATGTGAATTCAAAAAGACATGCTTAAAATATTTTGGGCAAATAATTTCAGGAGACTGAATTAAATCCAGCAAGGAAAGACTAAAAGACTTTCAGGAATTACCTTCACCTACAAATTTAAGTGGACTACATCGTATAATCAGCATGGTCAAATTCTTACCAAACTTGTCTGAAATAATACCAAAGATGGAATTATTAAGAAAGGACTCTGTATGAGTGTGAGATTAGAGTATTCTTTTAAAAGAATAATAGAATTACTAACTTGAGTGCAAATTCTATTGTACTATGATCCAACCAGGCCTACAATAATTAGCACTGATGCTAATGTTAGGGTTTTGAAGAAGCTCAATTTCAAGAAATAGATGACAACTTAAAAATAATAGCATTTGCCTCATGCACATTCACTTGCTCTGAGAGGAAATGTGTGAGAATGTTGAGAAAGAGTATTTGAGCATATGAGAAATTTGACAAATATGTCACAAAATCATTTAAACTGTTAACAAACCACTTATACCATTAATAAACATACATGATCTGTACAAAGGCCTCTGATAAGACTCAGAAGATACTACCCAGTAGAAGAACATATTGCAGGGAAGACACTAGTCGTACTTGATATACTATCAAGAAGTCCTTTATCTGACACTGATAGTAACACCAGTAAAAATGTTGGAGTATACACAAACTGTGTGGCAAGAACCAGACCAGCATTGGATAAGAAATTAAATGAAATAAAAATAGCTACTAAACAGGACACAGTATTACAGGAAATAATACACCACACACTCAATGGATGGACACATAAAGAAGGAAGAATAAAAGAAGGCATAAGGCCATATTTTGCAAGTCAGAATGAATTATCAGTCCATGACAATTTCCTATGGTTCCAGGACAGAATTGTCATACCTAGAAAAAAAAAACTTAGACCAGAGATATAAAGGACACTTCATAATCACTTGGAATGGAGAGAGAGCTAAAGAATCAATGTGGTGGCCTAAAATATCTCAGGAGTATCTTAAAAAAACCTTAATTTTGTAACAGGCACTGTCCGACAAATAAAAAAGAAAAATTAAAAATACCACTTCCTCAGAGCAAAGAATTGGTACAAATATTTTCACTCACTAAGGGCACCAATATATTATTGCAATAGATTTATCAAGATATATAAAAATAGCAAAGATTACTCCAATGGCAAGTGTTGTGGGCCAGTGTACATGTTTCCCAACTTGTTTCAGGTGTTAGTAAGGTTGGTGTTTGAGTTGTGAAATAAATATGTGTCTCCTAAAAATACCCACAACAAAACATCGGACTCAGGATGTGAGTTCACATAAAGAAATGGAAGCAACGTCAAGAACCAACATATATGTACAAACAAATGATAATGTATTAACAGCAAAAGTATACAAGTGACAAAGACAGTAATGTCTGTAACAAATGAATATGAACATTTTTGGGGTGCAAAGTATGTGTAGTGAGTGAATGTGTGTATTGTTCATGTGTATCCTAAAGGAAACGCATTCTCCACAAGAGGTTACATGTTGACGAATAAGCAGATAAGATAGAAGAGAATGATGAAAAATATCACCGAGTATTTATAATCCAGAGAGCCCTCCAGTAGTGGTTTCAAAACTTTGGATGTAACCCAACACAAGTGATTGTGTTATAGGGAAGTTGAAAAATTTCTTCTTGCGTTGAGGAATTCCTATTGAACTTGTCAGTGATAATGGGAAGCAGTTCACAAATTACACTTTCAAAGATTTTGCAGATAGTTATGTATTTAAAAACATAACATCAAGTTCACATTATTCACAAGCAAATGGAAAAGCAGAGAATTCTGAAACAATCGAACAAATTTCCAACATTAATGGTATACCAGAGTACACCAATTCAAGTCACAGGAGTCAGTCCCACAGAATTAATTATGGGAATGAAAATAAGAACCACATTACCTTTACATCCAATAAAGTTATTACGAAGATGGCATGATTTCACATGAATCAGGGAGAGACAAACTGGCAAAACCCAGAATGGAAAAAAATTTTAACAGATTTCATGGTACCAGAAATTTAACTCCTTCTAAAAAGAGGAGATAGAATAAAATTTGATAAAGAAAAATGTTGGAACACTGAAGGAACAATTAAGTCGGCAACCCCTCATTACAAACGACTGCTTTTATCTAAAATGACCTCTCTCTCCAATCCCTCTGTGTTGCACTCTCTTTTTGTCTGCCCCTCTCTCTTTCAGTTTCTCTCTCAGCATCTGTGATGCCAATTGTAACACACCATACAAGCATATTAATATATTGGGGTTTTTTTTTTTTTTGGTTTTTTTTTCTATCCAAGAAACACAGCTTTTTGTTTCAAGTCCATAACTTAAATAAATTTGCTGTTCATATTCATAAGTGTTATATGAACAAAAGTTGTTTAATCTAGCTTTGGACAAATACAGTTTAATCTGGTGAAACTAATAAACAAGCTTTCATTCATGTCAGTCTAACAAATTTCTGCCCAAACTATTAAGAATAATCTTTAAAATTTCTAATGGTTTTAATTGTTTTCAAGGTATATAGCTTTCTTACAACTTCAAAACAATGTCAATTGAACAAAATTTAATAAGGCCAACTTAGGCTCGTTGAATTTAGCCCAATCTGTTGGAACAAACTGTAACACAAAGACAAAACAGTAAGTACTAAATGGTTGGCTTTGCTGTATAAAAAATACAAGTACATTCAGTAGAAGAGGGTAAAGTCAAATATTTCATATCCTGGTTTAAAGTATGACTTGATCTTTAAAAATTGTTCTAACTAGCTTAAAGAAAATGTTATTTTGCTTATGTTGGACTTTAAAACTAAAGACATAAATCTTTGATTTATTTGGTCTATCTCATCAACGTTTCTGTATTGTTAATCTATTTAAAAATATTATACAGATTCTCTTATTTGGAAATTAATATATTATTTAATAAAATTTGATTGACTTTGACACCTTAATTTTAATCAGAAAAGTCTGTTGTTCCTGAAGTCCTAAACTGGTGACATTTATCTAGATATATACATATTTTGTTGATACTTTATTCTCTGGGTTAAATATTTAACCCACACAAATATTGCGTTTAACCCCCACTGAGTGCCCCAGAAAGAAAATTCAGCATTAAATAACCGAACAAGGATTTACATGTAGTAAAATCAATCAAACTAACTTAATCCATACAAAACAGTTTTTCTATTGCATCTTTTAAAATCTTATCTGTCCTAAAGTAAAGGGTGATGGCAACCATTGTACTATATCTACAGCAATGGGATAAATATTCTCTAGATGAAATGGGACAAAAAATATAATTTATTCCAGATTTGAATAAAGTAACTTTTAAGAATGCTCCTCGCAAAAAAAAAGAAAATGGATTGAATTAATTAAAACTTATATATTATTCCTGTTCAATTGATAATTTTGTGAAGAGAAAATTAATTTCTCAAGTTTAAGCTTCATATGCAGTTTTATGCTTGTTTGTGTTATAAAATAAAATAAGACATATCTCAGCTGATTTACCAGCAAATGCTCAAGAGCGAGAGCCGGATGTGAACGGGACAAAACCCCGTCACAAAATGACCATTATCTTCATTTACAAATGGGTCGAAAAATAAAATAATATTTAAAGTGTTCTATTTTTCGTCCAATAAAAATGCTTCCCTCCTAATTATACTCGCTTCGTTTTTCGAGCCTGTTAAGCCATAAAAAAAACGCTATAAAAGGGGTCACACAGAAGTTCAACAGGCAGTCAACAGGTGGCCAAGCCGAGCGGTCAGCAGCTAACAGCAGGAGAGCATCAACCACCATCAACATGTGTGAACTACTATGAGAGATCAACCTAGATCCGAACCCGGCTTATGAATTTTACTACAAAACCCAAACCCACACGTTCCTGTTGAAATAAACCACGTAAATCTATTTCTGCTGTTGTATTTCTTTCTTGCAACCATACGCTTGTCTATAACATTTGTATCCAATTCAGCTGTTAATAAAGAAAAAGGCTTTTTACTTGTTTTTTTATAATTTTAGGGGACATGAAATTGCCTAATCGTGTCCAAGAAGCGATGCAAATGCAGGTTGAAGCAGAAAGAAAAAAACGAGCTGCCATATTAGAATCAGAAGGTTAGTCTAATTCTCTTATAGTATTTGTTATGACTTTATTTAAAACTTCACAAAATAATTGATGAGTAAATTTTCCTTTGTTAACAGTTTGTGGACTTATAGCATTGCTGCTGTTTGTGTTGAATTAATTTGAAATAAGTAAATAGGTTTAGAGTATTGTTTTATTAGATATTTAAAGTTGAATAACTTATAGAATAATTATGATAATTCTTTCTGACGACCTTTTATCTTTGTTGTTTTTATCAGAATGCTTCAGCTGTTGAAACTTCTCATCATCTTCATATTTGGTAACACTACCCTACAGGACATGATCTACTGGTTAAAATTACTAATAAGCTTGTTCTCAGCATATCCTGAGTTCAATCCTTGGGTCAGATAGTGCAGAAGTAGATAACGATTCACTGAAAAGTTAAAGCAATATCGTAAGGAGGTATTGATAACAAATTTTGAAAATCCTTAACATGGCTGCTAGACATGATTGATATAGAAATGAGAACAATATACACCCCTGGGTCAAATAAATGTTTGAGCTTCTTGGAAGGTAACAAACACTGAAGAATGCCAGAAAGTTTACAGCAAGAGTTATCTTAATAAGAGCAGCAAAGATGAGGGAACTAGTTTGAAAGGATCATTTTATGATAATACTTTCTGGCATTTACTTAGATTTTAGCTAAAGAAAGTAAATTATTTAAAGAATAAATTGTGAAACTATACAATTAATGAAGCAAAGAAAAATATAAATATCTTAAACTTTAATAAATTTGAATAGTTTCTTAGTTTATAAAATGCCACATCAAAGTGTTGCAGTAGAAACATATTGTGCAATTTGAGTCTTTTGTTTGCTTTTAATCTGTATTTTTTCCCTATCATGTAGGAGTGCGAGAAGCAGAAATCAACGTAGCAGAAGGAAAGAAACAGTCCATCATTCTTGCATCAGAAGCTAATAAGCAAGAACAAATTAATGGAGCAGCAGGTATTTATGCTATAAATAAATTGTGTATTTTAGATTGTCAAGTTGTGAGTTGAAGTAAATCCATTCATATTAAAATTTAAGAACTTAAAAATTTGATATGGAAATGACTGTTTTGTAATTATATCTTAAAACTATTTGATAATAATTTATAAAACAGATATGCAAACTGTTTTCCATAACAGATTGTAGAAAGTATGTATTATTCTTAATTGCAATTATCTATTAGTTGATGTTTTATAGTGTTATGCGATCATATTACTATCAGTTAGTTTAGGAAAATGTGAAACCACTCTCTTTAATCAATACTAAAGTTGTCAAAAAAAAAAAAAAAGCAATAAAAAATTTCCTTTTTAAAATCTACTTTGTTATTTTGACAATGGCTGGGGAAGCAGAACTTGGAAAATTGCTGCAATTTTCAAAACTTATGCATAAATAGGGTTATTAAAACATTAATAAACTTCAAAGATAATATAAAAATTAATACTTTATTCAATGAATCTGCCATTATTTTCAGTTACAGCCTTAACACTTTTATATGGAGCATATTTTAGTTTGTGATTCTCTCTTTAAACATAGCATAATTTTTTTTATTTTTAAACAAATTGTGACAGGATGAAAAGTGGATACCTTTCAACATTATGGAATGTACAAGATCATGGGATAAGCAAAATGAATGACTACTAACTGTATCAAAGTTTGGTCTTCACCCAAAGAAAGTTATGCTATGTATATGATGGTATTGAAAGATAATTAATTCTTTTCAGAGAATCAAACAACCACTGCTCCCAATAAGACCAGTTGAAAGCTACACTTTAAAAAATATGACTGGTAATTAGTTAAGAAAATGAATGTAATATCCAATCAAGGTAATGCTTCTTTGGTGACTAGATAAAAATTGTCACAACCAACAAGTTTTTACTCATCCACCATATTCAGCAGACATTATTGCTTCTTCATATTACCATTTATTCCAATCTATACAGAATTTCTATTCCTTGAAAGACTACAAATGGTATCTAGAACAATTCATAACTGAAGATGATAAATTCTGGGAGAATGGAATTATGAAGTTGACTGAAAGATAGCAGAATCAAATGTTCAATAAAGCTAATGTTGAAAATAAAAAAAATCCTTTATTTTTACTTATGTTTTGGTCAGCATAAGTTTGGGGACCTATTGAAATTAAGTATTTATCACAAAGCTTTGTTGGGTTCCAATCTTTCAATATACACAGTATCACCTCCTTTGGATGTAGACCAGTCTTTGGTGCAGTTAGTAGTGTTTCATTTTGCTTGCTTTATGATTCTACATTGTATTCACTTTTCATCAGCTGTCACAGTTAAAAAATGGAACATTTTCATTACTTTCAAATAGTGAATTGTAAATGGAAATCTCACCTACTTTGCTTCTTTTCTTTCTCTCTCTAACCATCTGCTGCTTAGCATTTTTACATCTTCATCACAAGGACTATCTTTTCTTTCATTTGTTTGTGATAACACCAGTAAAATTAATGCGCTCTACTACCTCTGAATCCCCTATATGAGAGGTAAATAGTGCTAGTGAAGTGCAATGGTGTTATGTAAACTGGAAATTCCTAGCTTAACAAGGTTTTACATTTTATAGTTGTGCAATGTTTTTTGTGATTAGCTGATGTAGCAATAGCTAAGAACAGTTAAAAAAAATATTTCTTTTCATTCAGATGTAAGTAGGTTTATCACTCAAGGATAACAAATGATGTGGATGAATGTAGTTTAATTTCTACAATTAACTAGTTTGGTTTTACGAGATGGAGATCCTTTGCAGTAAGTCTGGCAACTGTAAGCAAGGTTAGTTTCATCAAGATGAAAAGCCAAAATGTGAAAACACAGAAAGTGATCTTTAGCTATCCAGTGACTATGAATATATAGATATGAATACAGCTTGTTACTCTACACTTACCCAAGATTTTGGCAAATCAGTTAACTTCTCTCAAAAAGAATTTTTCCATTCCTACCATAGTTAAGTGGGAGACATGAAGTGCCTAAACAATTTTTATTTTTTATTATTTTACTCAAAGCAAGGGGGCGATAAGATGCAAGGGGTTACCAAAAGTGAATAAATCTATCAAAAACACTATGAAGGATTAGAGGATAATAAAACAGAATTGAAGGAAACACAAGATGATTAATATTGCATTTAAATTTTTGAAGATCAAAATTGACTGGAATTCAAGAAGCCAGAAGAGTTCCACAAGCGAGAAGTGTGACTGAACAAACTGTTAGTATAGAACTGATTTAGCAATTTCAGCTGTAAAATGATTAGACTTAGCTGCTAATCTAGTATTGTTAAATTCATAGCCAAGATCCCAAAGGGATACATAGCAGAAACACAAGACCAGATGTGACAGCAATAGTCAGTGCACAGATGAATGGTTGACTTATAAATGTGTAAGATAGATTCTGGTGAGAAAAATTGTCTAGCACAGCCCAATGAATCAAACAGCAGACCTAGCAATTGATTCAATATACTCATTCTACTTCATATCAGTGGAAAATGTTAACACAAGAGAGCACAATAAGTCACTCTCTTGGAGGTTAGAATCAGTCATGATAGCAAAAATAGATCCTCTAAGATGATTAAAAGAGAGCAGTTCTATTTTGCAGTGGTTAAAATTAACAAGGCATTTCTTGCTCCAGTTAACAACAAATTGAATGTCATCTTTTTATCAGCAGCCATTTTGATGTTATCAAATCTATTAGACTTACCATTAAGACAGCAGTAAATAGTTGTAAAGAACTGATGACATTGGGAAGTTTGTTGATGCAAATTAGAAACAAAGTAGGCCCAAGGATAGAGCACTAGGGAACACCTCCAAATATTCAAAAAGATCTAGAATAGTAGCCATTCAAGAGGACTTTCATTTTGTGATTTGATAAGAAAGATTGGATCAAATCAAAAATTCAGCCAGAAATACCATAACCCTTCAACTTTGGAAGAAAACCCGCATACCAAGCCCTGTCAAACGCCTTTGTGATATCTAAAGCAACAATTTGAGCTTCACCATTCTTATCTATAGCTTAATAGACTCTAGGACTTTGTGAAAAAGAGGTAGGAGAATCTGATAGTTCACCAAAGTTTTTAAAAACAAGAACTACAGAAGAGGATTTCCAACAAGCAGGAAAGCAAAAAGCAGCAAGGTATTTATTGTAGAGCTTAGAAAGAACAGGAGCACATTTCTATTGCATGCTTTGTGGGGATCCAGTTTAAAGATGATAGCAAAAGCCATGGATAGTCATATGCATGTCACACAATGCAAACTCAGTTTTAAGTGAAAAGTTAGGCAAAGCTACTCCAGACAAGACTAGAATAGAATTGGAAGAGAATTTATGAGCAAAGCATTTTGCTTTATCAGCAGAAAATGATAATGCCTCAAATAGATTGATAAGAGGGTTAGAAGATTTACTCTTATTTAACACATTATTGCAGTCACCAGTAGTCACAAGAATCAAAATTGTTAGAGACAATACAGTGCCTCACTCTGTCAGAGGACAAAAATTTGACTTCATTGAGGACATATTTACAATTATTACAAGCAGATACAAGGAGGTTTTCTGTTGTGATCAGATTTATCATGGTACAGCTAAAAAAGGGATTCCTGTGGGTTATAGCAGTTAAACAAGTAGAAGATTGTGGTTTCACCTGGTATTACCAAGATGGTATAAAATTATTGATACTAGCTTTTACTCAAGAAGAAACCTCAGAGGTACACTTTTCAATAGAAAGTTTAAAAATTTCATTCAAAAGGGCATCACAAAGAAAATCAAAAACTGATTCCTAATCAGCACACTGATAACAGAAAGAAGTTCTTTGAATATGGGGTTTGTGTCTGTCTAATAAACAAATGAAAAAAAATATTCATAACGTATGCAAAACAGCAATGCCCTGGTTTGATGACTAGTAGTCAATTCAATAATTTAATCAGGATATTTTAATCTCTGGCCTACAAAGTTAGTTTCCAACTCTTCAATTGTCAGTCTGCAAACAAAAACTTCTTACACTGTGGAAAATTTCATCAGGTGACTAACTCTTTTCAAGTACACTATTTACATTATTCGGACTATTGTCCTCATCTTTGTCACCATATTTACTACAACATTTCGGCCGTTGTACGCTCCGGCCTTCTTCAGGTGGTTGGAATGTTGAACTGAACCATTTATTTCGCTCACTGGGATAGACTGTTCTAGTTCCACATGCCACCATAGATTGCAATCACTGACAAACAAAATCACTATCTTTTAACAGTTACAAGGACTCTAATGAGTGTGTAACCTAGTGAATAAATTTAAATACTCTTTGAACTGATGCATATTCATGAGGAAATAGTATTACAAGAATTTCATTCATGTATGTGCTCTTTTCACATTGCAAATGGCCACCAAAACATGGAAATTTGTGAAACTTATTTTTATTTTTCATTTTTTCAGGAGAGGCAAATGCTATTGTTGCTAAAGCAAAGGCTAAAGCAGAATCTATTCGGTTGTTAGCAGAATCGATTGGGGAAGAGGTCAGCGTATTATTTTATTTCACTTGTTTTTCCTTTCCTTTTTTTTTTTTTTTTTTTTTTAACATTTACATAGATGTATTGTCAACTGTTTACATTCTAATCACTTTGAATTTCAAACTTTAGTTGCTAACCCAAGTCATTGTTTTACAGCTACCAGGATTTGGTAGATCCACTTAAAAATAGTTTTCTTCATTTTAATAAGTACTTTGGAATGTAGTGATAGGAACAGTTTAGCAAAAAAGTTGTGTTAGGTAATATCTTAGAAAATGAAAAAAAAATCAGAAAAAGAAACTTAAAATATAATGATCATCTTTTTTAACCAATAAAAGAAAAAATGTGGTGGTTTAATACAATATTGTTAGAAGTTGGTAATTTTGTCACTGATATTTTCATACTTAGAGTACTGCTTAAAGAAAAGCATGAAAAAAAAAAAAAAGAGGATTCTAATCAGTGTGTCCACAATTCATCTTGCACCATTGCTGAGCATTGAGAATTGAATAACCTGAGAAAGTATCATCTCTTTGACCTACTATCTGATAGACTTCAGGTGACTATCAATCATAAAACAAAACTTTATTCACTACTAGCAGTAGAGCCCAGCATTGCCCGGGGATGTAACAGTAAGAGATAGATCAAGTATTGACCATCATAAAGACTGAAAAATAAAATTGTCAAAGATTATTGTTTAAGGTTGATGGACACGCATGTCTTAATTAGTTGTTTTTTTTTTTTTTTTTTACGAATTGGTCAAACCCAAACTCAAACAAAAACATTGTTTTCAATCGTTATGAGTCTACCGATTGAATAGAATTTTATTATAAACAATTGTCTTGTAAATGGAATTTTTAAAGCATTCTGAATGTAAAAATAAAGAAAAAAGTGTGCAACACAATAAGAAACACTACCTGCCAAAAAAAAGTGAAGTTTTGTTGAAATCGGTTGAAAAATGTAGGAAATCCGATCCCATATATAAATGAACACACACACACACACACACACACAAACAACCTGGGTTTTATAAGAAGTATAACTCTATATGAGTTGTCCCCCTTTCATTCTCATGATGCCTCTTAATTGTGTTTTCAAATTGATTTTGTGCAAAAACAATTGTTTTTTCAATTTTTGGCGCTGTCAGAACCACCACAAGGTAATTTTACATAGTCCTGTGAAGTTTTGTTGAAATCAGTTGAAAAATATAGGAAATCCATTCCAATATATAAACGTACACACACACAATCTGCGTTTTATAATAAGTAAGATCTGACAAATTGCTAAAGTTGTTTTCATTTTCATCTGCCATTAAAAGTCAATTTTATTTAACTAATTTGACATAAACTAGCATAAATTTTAATGAATGAGAAACTTTAATGATAATAAATTCGAATAAATGACCTGCCATAGGCATTAAACTACCATAGAGCTGTGTTGACTGGCAAGAAAATAAGGAAAGAAAAACCCCTGTTAAATGCATATGGACAGAAATTATTTATTTATTTATATATATATATATATATATATATATATATATATATATATATTTTTTTTTTTTTTTTTTTTTTTTAGCACTATTTAAGAATACCCGAATTTATATCCAATATCTTATGTTTACACTAATATACTCGGAAATTTTAACCACTTGTAATGAGAAATAACTTTCTGAAAATAGAAATTTGTATTGAAGACCATTCTTTTTACTAATATTTCAAAATGCATATATGCAGTGCTAAAATGTGTCTTATTTTTTAGAATGGTACTAATGCAGTTGGAATGAAAATTGCAGAGCAGTATGTGGCTGCATTTAACAATTTGGCTCAAAAAGGAAATACTGTGATAATTCCTTCTACTACAAATGATGTGTCCAGTATGGTAGCACAAGTGAGTAATCTACTTCATATAATTCTTAAAATTAATTCATTGATTGAATATAGATTGAATATATTTTTTAGATTACTAGGATAGTTTTCAAGCTTTATTTTGTGCAGAAATGTTATTGATAACTTTGGTCACTCAATAAACAAAAGAAAATGTGTTGATTCAAAATGACCATTTCAAATTTTGTTTTCCAAAATAAAATTTATTTTTAATTCTTATATTTGAGTAGAAGTGCTAGCATTTTCTTCAAATAATGTTTGTTTTCAAGTTATCTACTGTAAATTAATTTTTATATTTTTAGGCTATGACTATATACAAGAATCTTAGTTCAGAACCTGCACCTTCTTCAGAAGAATCAAATGCATCTGCAGGACGTTTTTACAAAGGTGGTCCTTTATCAACACCATGACGCCTTAGAATGATACACTAGCAGACCCCAACTTTCCAGTTTTAAGCTTGTTACAGAATCTCTTTTCCTTATTAAAAATATTGTGAGTGAAGTTTCAGTTCCTTGTATACAACAGTATCAACTTGTCTCTTAGAGACACATTAAAACAACAATTTTTATCTCTTCAGTATGAAAAAATTTTGTTAAATATGTCTCCTGCTTATCACTGAAAAATGAATTTTCTCTTTGGAATTGGATAACAATAATATTTATTCATTATCATGAACTAATTGTTCTAAATATGAGCACTTAAATTGTGATTCTATCCTTAATGTTTTCTGGACATCTATCAGTTATAATGCAGACTAAAATTTATGTTCGACAGATTTATCTTCCAGTGCTTTATTGAAATTAGCTAAATTAGTTGAAAAGTATAAAACTTTGTGAAATAAAATGTTTATTAAATCTATCATTTGCTAAGAGAATATATCAATCACCTACAATAATAATAAGCCTTGGTTTTGTACAGCCAAAATCTTCAATGGACTTTAAAAACACTCAACTCAATTTTATAATGCAGCAATAAACTGTCTTTGCATGCTTCATTGAATAATATAGACATATTGTGTCTACTTAATTTTTAAATTGATTCTTTCCAGTTGTCTAATCAGTTTCTTGATGTTAAGATGAAATTCATCAAGGAAGGCACCGTAGTTTATTTTAACCCAAGTACTTTCAAACTTTTCTAAGATTAGGTATCACAGATGAAAATTTCAAACTGGTACTAGATGTTATCTGATTGCATCTTCTTAATCTACATGCTTAAAGAAACTTAGCAGTTTTTATTTCATCAAAATATCTCAAACCGTTTAATTTTGGCAGATTTATTTTTATTTTTACAATGTGCTTGACTTATTTGGACTCCTATATTTTAAAATGCAATTAAGAACAACAGTTAAAATTATACTAGCTTGTTAGGTACAAAACGAAGAAATTGATAAAATTACACTGCATATTTCTTAAATAAATTCAGTCTGAACAGGCTTAACACACGCCAAGCTATACCCACTAATGAACTTAAGAAAACAACAGAAAACTCACCATATCATGAAGTATTCAACCACTAAATTTGTAACTGAAATCATTAAAATAAAAATATTTTATCTGTCACAATTTGATCAAAAGGTTGAAGTTCTGACACCTGTTAGTTCTGATCACTACGTAAGCGGTATGAAATCACCAAATTGTCTCAATTTTTAAAACTGTAATGTTCCTCTCACATTATGCACATAAAAATAAATAACACAGACATAAAATTAATGAAATAAAGTTTATTTGGAAATTTTCAGTAATGGTGGGCTGGGTGTTGGGATACCTCTTCACTGAGTAGTCAAAAGTAAGTCTTGGCATACTCTTCATACAATCCTTCCAAATAATCTAATTCAGGCACTACCCAAGTTCTTCTAGTCTGACTAGTATATCTTTGCTGGTGTATCTAGTTTATATAATTCAAGTATGAGCCCATTTGTTACTTCCACACACAAAAGATTACAACCCAGCATTGGATCCAACAAAACACTGAGGAGAGTCAATCCAACACTCTCACATCTTTCACCTATGAATCCCAAATTTGTTACCTCATGGTACAATGCAGGATGAGTCGCTTTTGGACAACTCTGAACTTCTGCTACAACTTTCTCAATAAGGTGTACCCATTTGTTCTTAGGAAAGATTGGGAACAATTTATGTAGTCAAGTAATAACAGAATCTCAGGTTTCCTGATACTTCTCTTTCAATGAATATATTTGAAGCAGCACCTTCTTGGAACATTCCACTTTTGGCCAAGACATCTTCCTTCCACATCCTTTTGTCATAAAACAACATTGTAACTGATTCTGTACATCGTCATCTTCAAAAAGAAAAAAAATGAATTTATAATCCTATCCCATCTACAAATTATTGTCTGTTTTCTTACTGAATTTGATTTTATTTGCAGTTCATAAAAAAATTGCACTAAATACAATCAGGGATAAATATAAATTTAGAGTCATCCATACACCTGAGTAACAAATAAGGAAGCACTAAAATATTTTCTCAACAAACCTATTTCCACAGTGGTCCTTAAAACTGATACTTTAAAATATTTTAGAATAAAATAAACAATCATAATCCGTATGAAATAAATATAAGAAATAATAATAAATTAGGAAAATGAATATTAAATCATAAATTTGTAACTAGATAGCAATAAATCATAACTAAAATCCATTTATTAGATAATTTAAAAAGTAAGAAAATTGTTTGAAGGGGTAACTTTAAACAAAATGTTACTTGGTAACTGAGCTGCTGATAATTATTGTGAGAATACTGCAAAAACATAAAACACATTCTAGAATATTTTTATAGAATGCTTTTTATCTCATTCTTTGAATATGAATATTTTTCAATCAATAAGTCCTACTTTTTTTTTTTTTTTTTTTTTTTTTGTGATTTGAATCTGAGTGTAAAATAAACAAATCGATTTTTGTTTCATGTTTTTTATGACGAAAACGGTTTTTAAATCCCATTTACATTTTACATGTAGAAAATTAATATTTAAAACTAATTCTTACCAATTTCCTTGAAAATTTCATCCATAGAAAACATTCTGGTCGATTCTTGTGTGTCCGTGTTGACGCTGTGTATTGACTGTCGCATGGAGTTGAAATGATGGCCGAGCCAGTCGTGCATGATTACACATAATCGCACACACGCAAAATGGAACTATCGTTTCATATTTGATTTTAATTTAGTTTCATAGATTATTAAATGAGCGTTTTAATGATATATTTTATGTGTTTTTATTTTTACAAGAAGCATTTGAATTTTATGATCAAACTTTTCATTTGAATTGTTTACAAACTTCTTATTAAAAAAATATAAAATATATGAAAATGAAGCTTAGAATGTTAACTTTCGAACTAACATGTTACCAAAATTGTAATAAACCCTGCAGAGTGTACATGTCACAAAATTTGAGGAAACTGCCACCAGTGAAAAAAAAATGGCCAAAATTTTGTGACATCACCAAAATGTCTCTATTTTCAAGCTAATGTTCCTCGCACACTGTAGTACATATAAAAATAAATAAGATAGGAACAAAGTTAATGAAGTAAGCTTTTATTTGGTATGCATTATGTTTTTATGGAAATATTGAATGAAATAACACAGTGAGTTGAATATATGCCTTTTTTAGTGTTTAGTAAAGAATTTCATCGACTATATGCTGAGTGCTGGGATACCTGCTAAGATCATCTTCAGGAGCTAAGTTAGAAAGACAAACTTATTGTAACTGTGTTAAAATCTGCATTCTGTTGTGATAGTAATTTTTAAAAACATGTGCAAACGTGCTCTGTTATAGTTTTAGAATTTTAAATTTATCCATTGTAGTTAATTTGATGAATTTTATCTTAACATCAAAAAACTGATTAGACAACAGGAAAGGATCTGTATAAAAATACGTAGATATCTATCTATCTATGAAATACACACACACACACACACACACACACACACACACATATATATATATAGATATATATATATATATATATATATATGACAAAAGGAAAACTTCTTTACCATTGTGTTTTGCCCTCTAGCAATACAAATGTAAGGACTTCATTTTGCAATATATAAACAGAAGTACAAACATTGTTAGGCTTTCTAAATTTTTTAATTTAAAAACTTGTAAAATCAAGTCCCATAATAGGAAATATATGAAAAGTAATTAAAATATTGTACTTAAATGGGTTATATTTTCACAATTTGTGACACAAAGGGTTTTATAAAGAGATTCAAATCTTAGAAGATTTTCTCATAACAAAAAAGAAAAATCCAAATGCATTGTTTTTATATATATATATATATATATATATATATATATATATAAAAATGATAACATGAATAAAGATGTAAGGATTTTTGCAACATTTCTTTAAAAACAGAAGTACAGTCATCATTAGGTTTTCAAAACTTTTTAATTTAAGAACCCTCAAAAATATTTGGTTTGGTTTGATTTACGGCATATCAACCTCAATGTGTTATTTAATGCCGACAAGATTTTTAATAATAATATATGCTAATTTTTTTTTTTTTTTTTTTCAAAAATGTATTCCTGTCAGATGTTTATTGTCTTACCCAGGATGCAAAAAATATTTGAAGGTGGCTTGCATTTAGTGCAATCAATTTCACTGGCTCATTTCCTTTACTGGAATTCATATTATCTACTGGTTTCCCATTTGTTGTGTACCTGTTTAGAAATTAATAAGCTGTGGCTTTGTTGATCTGTAATGTTTCTACAGCGTCAGGCAATCTTGCTGAAAAGGTGCCAACCGAAGAAATTATGCTGTTGAGAAATTATCAAGAATTTAATTAAAAGTGAAATGTGCAAATCATACATCTATGGGACTGTTTCCTCCCAATCACTCCTTTTCTATCCTTGAGGCAGTGAGAGACATCTGTTTGTTAAGTAATGCAGGTGGTGCTAATATCTTAGTAGTGAATAAATTCTATGGCAAATTTTCTCTAATGCACAATGAAGAGTGAACCTGCCACCTTTTTTGCAGTTGTTTGGACACAAAGCATACACTCGAAAGATCTCTGGCTAACTTTCATGAATTCTACTGATTTCTGCACATGCGTACTTCATATAGACTTCAGTTTGGGGATAGAACCTCCTCTTATATAACACAGATGGACATGCTACGAAGTACTTTTCAATTTTTTCCTGTATTTTTAAATTTCTAAAATTTATATTGAAATCAGTGTGAATATGCCAGGTATTTTGCAAAAAAAACCAAAAAACAAATCTTAACAAAAATCCTGTGGACTTTTAGCAAACTCATTAGTTATATGCCAACATCTTTGTGGTTATGGAGTTGGGCCGTGGGTGTCAGTTATGCTTAATTTTACTAAATCTTACTTAATTTGATTTTAATTCAAACTCTTCAGCGTATTTTATTGTTTTAAATGAATATTTTTAAACTGGACATTTTTTTCCATCAGACTCCAATTAATCACTCTTCCATATTTTTTTCCTTCTAATATCTCTACTATTTTGCTCAAAATTAGTAAGTGTCTCAATACCTCAAATTGCTAACCACTTTCCATGCACTATTATGACTCAACCATGGCCACTGCCCTATTACATCTCAGAATATGATCAGAATCATAAATGCCCATAACAATAATAATTCCAAAGGAGGTATATATAAAATAAACTTTAACACACAACTTACTTACAATATATTGGGGAAACTTGCAGAAATTAAAAAAAAAAATGTGTGAACACAAGAAATAAGTTCAACCACAACTTCAATCTAAAAATGCCACAATTATTAAAACAGAAAATAATTTATTTACACAAAAAGTTCTTGAGTGTCACAATCGATTCTTGCCAAAATGTTATCCTTCATCCAGGATTTTTATCAAATCTTTCCTAAAAAAAAAAAAAAATAATAATCCTTTCTATAAACATTAAAAGAAAACGGTTAAACCTTTTATTACTTGAAAACAAATAAACACAGAAATAATTTATCAAATTAAAATAAAATAATTACAGTAAAAATAATAAAAAAAGTAAATATAATATATAAAATAAAATTTCATCTACAACAACATTTACTCATTTAAATGTTATTGTTGAATTTTATTTTTGTGGGTGTTTGTTACAAGAAATGCTTTTAAGATTTGAATCTTGTTATAAAACATTTTGTCACAAGTTGTGAAAATATAACCCATTTAAGTACTTATTTTTTTTTTATCAATTTTCATATATTTCTTGTTATGAAATTCTCTGACTCAATTTTACTTATGTAATCTCTTAATTATTTAGTGGTTATGTTAATAGACTTTTTATGAATTTCTAGTTAAAAATGAATTCAGTTAATTTGTAAATTTTTTTCACTGAAGTAGTCTCAAAATAATTATACACAATATAAATGGTCTTTAATGCTTTGAAATTTATCATTCTGAAGTTATTGTATATTATTGTAGATTATAATTAATGTAAAATCATTAATGCTTAAGTTTACCAAAGCAAAATTTTTTTTTTTTTTTTTACAGTGGTAACAGTATCTAAAAACTTCATCTATTTTGCAAAGATTTAACAACAGTACAATTCTTTTTATTTTATCATTTTTATTTATTTATTTTTTTCTTTTTTTTCTTTTTCTTTTTCTTTTTTTTTTTTTTTTTTCAGAGGAGGCCCAGGTTGGGACATATTCATATGGAATTATGTGTTTACTATGAATTAAAAATGATTTTTTTGTATCAAACTGTTTCACAGCATTTTTTTCTTTTTTTTTTTTTTTCTTTTTTTTTTTAAATAAAAGTTTCACTTAAAAGCAAACAGTTTTCTTTCAGTAGACATATACATGTTACTAAAATTGTTACAAAGATGCTCAGGTATTTTTGCTGTTATTGTTGATGAGGTCATGATAATTTGTACCATAATCATTTTTTTTCATTGGCATTAATAGGATAATTAATTTAATAAGCATGTCTTAATTTATACAGTAGCATTAGACCTTCAAATCACCAGAACTTGAAACACCATTTAGCAGAATCTTAACCATCATCTATTTGAAAAGGGTTTAAGAAACCAATTTAAAAATATGCTACATTACTGAAACAAATTTAAACTTGTTTTAGGATCAGTTTTTGTCTTTAACCATTAAATTCTTATATATTTCAAGAAAAGTCAATGACTGTGTTCTAAGTAAAAATTTGTAATTTTTTCATCAATCGTATGAATATATTGGAAATTATTTATTTTATCTATTTATCTAATATATACCTCCAACATTATGCATTAATCTGTCCTTTTCAAAACAAGATGATTTTTTTAGAGAATTCATCAGTTTTTAATATACAATGAAGTGTTTTGAATCCATATGTAAACAGAATCCCTTGGTCCTAATCTTTAAAGTCAGGTTTTCCCTTCAGGGATTCATTATTTACAAAATCTTGTTAATATAAGTTTTTAATTTAAAAGTAATACACTTTATCCTACAATGTCTTCCTTCTTGGCTAGTTATTCTGAAGTTTTGAAATGTTGTATATAAGATTTTATATTCATATCTTGTTTGCTCTAGTATTCTCTTGAAGAGGACAAATTTAGTAATGCTACACTTGGTGTTAATTTTTGTAATAAGTAATTTTTGTAATAAATATCAATTTCAAATAATAAATTGATTTTGGATATTCTTGTAAATACACAATGGACTAATTTATGACAACTAGCTGTTGAATCTGTCTGCTAATATGCCAAAAATTAGATAAAACTGTCTGTGTCATTACTTTTTTTTTTCCTCTCAACTACCTTCCACCCTGATAAGAAATTTAGTCATCTTATTTTGTTGCACACTGAATGATTAAGTTATTATAAAATCTTGGCTAAAAAGAAAAGAAAGGTGAATAGTATTAAAGTAGGTTTCCCCGTGAGATCAGTGGAAAATAAGCATAACGTGATAAAAACGGTGTTAAACTTGAAAGCAAAATTTTATCATCAAAATGTTTGTTACTATTAAAAGGGAAGAACAAAGTATTTTTTAATTTATTTTTTAAAAAATTTTCCATCTTTTTAGAACATTCTAACTTTTGATTTTAAAAAAAAAAAAAAAAAAAAGAAACCTTTGTTTTTCTTTGTCGGCAGAAGTACTAAATAACAGCAAATTTTTGTGCATTTTTTTTTTTTTTAATGACAGACATTAATTTTAAAAATCTTGCAAAAGTAGAAATAATTGTTGGATTTTAATGAAACTTCAGTTTTTTTTTTTTTTTTTTTTTAAGTCATGATAAAAAAATATATATTCATCCCCCCCTGCCCCCCATTTATGAAAACTGTAGAAATTCAATGTTGAAGCACGCAAGTCATTATATTACTTAAAAGCACAAGGCTTTGAGGAAAGTAAATCATGTTTTGTTTTTGTTTTTTTAAAATCGAACCTCATGTACCTAAAAAATCACCTGAATTGTAACATACAAAACTCTATAAAACAAAGATATTATTTAATTTCAAATGCTTTCAGTTTTTATGAATATGCATAATATTGTCTGAAGGCAAAACAACTTTATCAATGAAAAATGAATTTTTAAAAGAATTGTTATTTCTTAAATTATTTTTATTATTTTTACATTAAAGTTGTTAAATATTGTAAAATTAAGGGAAATGGTGAATCCTTTACTTAACGGTGTTTTTTAAGTAGATCTATCTGTACAGATTATAAATTGCACAAGCTTTTTACAATCAACAAGCCTCCAGTTAGAAAAATCTTACTGTTCCTTGCCTTTTGTGTCTCTAAAACGTCTGTGATTCAAATGTACAGAAGCTCAGAAGAAACATGATACAATAAAAACATCATGTGATTTGATTTTGTATATAAATGTTGTTCAGCACTGTTAATGGCCTTTACATTGACATTGGGCAAAACACAAAAATTTCATGAAAGTCTGATACCAGTTCCATTGAATTTCTAAACCTCTGGCTATAAAAAATAAAATAAAAAGTGTATATGATTATGTAACTATTAGAAAAAATGCCTTTTCAATATTGTCATGTAACTTAAGGTTAAAAAAAAAATTACCAAAAGAGAAAAAATGTATAGCATTTCAACTTATAAGTGTACCTACAATGTATCTTGTATACATCTTATGAAATTTATATGATCTTAGTTTTATATAATCTGTTATGTCATTTTTCCATAAATGAAACATCAAAATTAATAATAAAATGAGTGGAAATCCAAATAATACCGTAAAATGTACATAAAATATACACTACTGATAATATTTCATAAGAAAGGTAACTAACTAATTAGGTACCATTGTGAAATTTTACCAAAAATTATAAGAAAAATTTAAGAGTGATCTTCATGTCTTATTTAATTTATTTTTTATAGTATTATATTTTTCCATAAAGCATCATAAATATAAAGGTGAAAGCTAAGTAACAAAAAACAAAAAAACAGAGCACCGATAGTTTTCCTTAAAAATAATGAAGTAAATAAGTCAGTTCACTTAAAGCTAAATTAAATCAATTATGGCCTTTCATATGATAACTTTTCCTCATGCACGATGTCAGTGCATGGTGAAATCATCATATGTTACTTAACACCTGTTAAGACTGGCTTTCTCTTATTTTAAAGTATTTTTTTTCAGCGCAGAAAGCAAGTAATGTTTGTTTTAAAATATATTAAATAAACTTTATAATTTCTAATTTTATTAAATTTTGAAAAAATTATAATTGATTTTTAAAAGAATTTTACACAGAGAATTTCACTTTTGTTTACAAAAGTGAAATTCTCTGTGTAAAATTCTTTTAAACAAGACTTAAATTGGGAGTCATGTGGGCTTTGGCAGCATGATTGTCTCTCATCTGCTTCTTCAACTGCGACTCCAACTGATTTTGTCACTTCAGTGTTCTGCTTATATTGACTTAATACTGGCATGGGGGCTTGGGGTTTCCCCTGGTCTTCCAGCAAGAGTTCTTTGTTGTCTGGCTTATCTCTCCAAATTTGAGAGATCCCTTTTCCTATGGTCAGTGGTTGCAGATACTGACCTGCTCACACATCCAATATTTATGCCTCACACCATTACTTCCCAATAGGCGTAGGCAATTCCTCCATCTTTCATCTAAGCTTTTCACCTCAGTTGTCATTTTGACAAATCTGATTTTTAAACCCTGTGGCATGATTTGCTTCTGGTCATTAATTGTAATTGAAATTTACTGTTTCCTCCAACAGCCATTAGCAAATATTTGGTCTCCATATCTAATTCACTCAATTGTACTTATGAAGCCAAACTCTTATCTTAAGAAATTCTATTTCTTGAACTGTCTACAATTTTCTGCTTTCCCCAACAGGCAAAATAAATCAATTTATTAACTTTTGCCTTGGTCTTCAAAAATTACCAAATATCTTCTCAACCGACTATCTTTTCTGGTTGGTCCTATAGATGTTTTCATAGCTTCCACTTTAAAACAGCACCATCAATCAATTGTCAGCCCGGCTTTTCCAGATGGCCTCTTTGGAAATATCTTTCCCCAAAACAACAAAGTTACTTTCTTCAAGCCATCTCTGCTTAAAAAAATAGACTTTCAAAAATATAAGCAATTTCGTTTCTTAGTTTATCATTTCATTCTTTAATTCTTTTCGTCTTGTTCCAAGTTATATTTTAATTTTAACCCTTTCTTTCCATTTACGAGCAAGCATCACAAAGGTACTCCTGGTATCCTAGTAAAATCCAAATTACCTAAATTTGTTTTCTAGGGTTTTCACTTTAAATTCTCCAGTTAATATCCATTCCAACCAATATCAGGTATAACTTTACTTACTTGTAAAATCCACACCAGTATCTCTGTTATACCTAATGCATAGAATCTTTTTTTGTATTCCTGTTACAGTTTTTCCAGTTCAAAAACCATTAATTAGATTTTTGCTTCAACTCTGGATAAACTTTGGAGGCCTTGCTCAGACTCACATGGTCTATGCCTCACAATTCAAAGTGGTTATTTTAGTAAACTTTTGGTGTTACTATTTTGGAAAAAATCTCTGGTCTGGAGAGAAAGGAGGAAAATAGTTTTCTCTTTCCCACCAAACATTTTCCATTTGAAATTTCTCCACAATAATGACACCAACAAGTTTACTTAAACAAATGCAAAATCAGTTATAAAATGCAGTGTCAAGTTACAGTTGGGAGAAACTGAACCCCAATCAAGTTTGGTAAAATCAAAAATTGTGTAAGTGAGAAGTAATTCGGGAATTAAATGTCTAGGGAAAATGGCATGTAACAATATTGGTTGTGTGCTTAAATATTATTCCCTGGAAATGCATAATTTCTAACCAAACTCCTAATTCCCAAAACTTGATTGATGCAGTAATATGAGAATCCATCTGGTATCAGGAATTACCATGATACTGTATAACCCCCCACTGCTCTTATTTCATTAATCTGTTCCCCCCACCCATTTAAGCACTACCAAAAATATAGTACTCTTAGCATTATCACTTGGTGTTGTTTTTGTATGTTAATGTAAACAATCTGGGATGTAACCAGATTTTGGAGATGTTTTGCCCAGTGGTCATTGTGACCCTGCCAAGATTTCATGTGTAAAATTTTTTCAGCCACAGTATCTTTATCTCTGCTGAAAGCTGATTTCACAGCAACTAACAAGCTCTATTGATAAGTAATGATGTGTTTAATGAAAACAAATTGAAGAATTCAAAAAGTATATAAAGAGTAAAGAATTATTAAT